CAAGTTCAACCCATCACTAACAGAGTCCTGTAAAAGAGTTTTGGCTATTCTTGATTGATAAGAAGCTTTTGCACAACTTTTCTTTTTGATTTCCCTTCTCGTTTACAGAATACTGTCGTTCTCTGTTTTCACCGAATTTCTTGACTGCTTGCTTGTGTTGAAAAGCGTTTTTCTGGAGTATCAATGAAGTTTTCCCTTTCTAGTTTAGTCTATATCCCACTTCTATTATTTCTTTGTGTGCTGCCATCATTATGTTGTCTGACTTGATATTTTTTTTTATTTATTTAAACGTCCTAGAGGTGGAGGACGGATAAAAACAATTGTCATTTCTTAATCAAATCCAAATTTGAGCCTGACGGAATAATTACAACGATCTTTTTGGTTTTTTCCTAACATTTTTTCTGAGAACACATAGCTATAGCATCCGTATGTCGGTACAGACGATCGTCCCGAAAGAAGATTGAAAAGCTGGAAAAATTGTTGAAAATATCCACAGTACAAGTAATAGTACAACGTTTTTCAGATAAGTTTACAGAATTCAGCGTCGTTTTGCTTATTTACTGAATTCTCTCTAATTTTTATTCTCTGCGAAGGCGCAGAATGTGCCGAACTTTCAGTTGAAATTAGATTAATTCGTTCATAGGATTTTCAGTTTTCATGTTGATCTCACATCTCTACAAATCAAAACTTCTCGATGCTGAAACTCGTACATAATATCGTGTTATTTATGGCATCAATTCTAAGTTAACTGTGTTGTTTTTAGTTTTAACACTTTATAATATAACCGATTATATAGCATGATAAACTCTAAAGTGATTCTAAATGCTATTTGCTTTAGTATTAATCGAGAATATGAACATTTCTAAATTAGAATAAAAGAAGAAAAAAAAAGAATGCTCAGATGGAAACACTCGCCCTTAGTCACTTTGTTCACCATCTTCCAGTTTTAAGTTCTGAGAAAGTGCTAAACATAAAAGAGTGCTTTTTCTCCTTTGATTTTTGATGATAATAGACTATTTGTTATAGACAGATAAACGCAAATGTCTGAGAGTAATATCAAGCAGGTATTATATACAAATTAACAGTACTTATTAACAAATTATTTAAATGAAGTGATTAGTCGTTCTGAATAGTGAGCTGATTTTATGACGAGAAAGTTTTGTTTCTTTATTCTCTCTCTCTTTCTCTCGAAAAAAATCTAGTCATCGCATCTCTCTTGATGGACATAAAACAAGAGAGGACATTTGGATTCTTGACCACAAAACAAGAAAAAATTAAACGGACATATGGTCATTAAACGGCATAGATAAGTCAATCTGTTTAGTCAAGTTAAAATGAAAATATTTTACACTACAAAGTTTGCATGTATTAAGTTGATACTATTGCATACGTTCCGTTATGCTTCTCTTATATGGTGTGTTTACTAAAAAATTCAATTTAAAACCATCTTTTCAATATTTTTTTACTAGACCTTTACGAGAAAAATCTTTTGTTCAAACTATTTTCCTACTTTTCAAATATAAATCTATATTTTTTTCTATCGTAATAGATTAAGAAAAGTGAGTGACTACGATTCAAAATAAAAGTAATGTAATAATTGTCTGGTATGCTCAATGAGACAAGAATTTCTTTTTCAGAGAACGCAAGTAAAAAAAATTTCTGCTGAGAAAAATCGAGAATTTTTAATTTTTTGGGGTGTGTCGCACCTCCACGCCAGTAACGGCAGCCCTGTATCGTGGAGATATGATTTTTTGGCACGGTAGATCTGTATGACACATGCGATAATTCTTCAGGATGCACTTCCCGAAAATTGATCGTTTCAGATTTAGAGAAGGTGTAACAGTAATTGCCATTGGCCTAGAAATTCAATATTACTTGGATTCGATTCCTAATGGAGACATCTATTTTCTATTCTCGTATTTATCAGATTTACTTGCCGCCGCAAAAAGGTATATATATTAATGATCTTATGAAGTCCTGTTTCTCCACTTTCTTTCACTCTGTTCCATGTACGAAAGAGTGAAAAGTGATTTGATAAAACTGCGCCATTAATGTATAGATTTTATTAATAGAAGTTCTGAGAAGTGGAAAATGTTTCATTTTCAAGGAAACAAAAAAGATTCTTCATCTCTTGTAGAAATACCCTAGGAAAAATTCAGATTGTTTAAAATTAGTTTTTTTTTCTTGAGATCTATCTTAAAAAATCAATAATCTCTTTAAGAAAAGTTGTTGACAGTCGGAATACCATCATTTTGTAGAGGACACTTACCTTCATATTCAAACATTTTAAATTCAATTCTTGCGTCAGAGCGATCCTGGATGTTAGAGTTATTTTTCATATTCTCCAAGCATATTACTACATGCATTTAGTTTAAAATCAAGTGCAAACATAACCGTCCGACCTGTTTAAAAACGATTAGACTTTTGTTAAAATATGAGTATTTTTTCTCATTCAACATCAAAAGTATCATAATAGCGTGTTTAGAACAACATGGATGTGTGAGTAAATAAAAATATTTGTGAGAAAAAAGATTAATTTCATAAAAAAGGAGGTTTTGATGCACTAACATAGATAAATGTACAATATTTGAACAAATGAAGAAGAAGAAAAAACTTGTTGTTGTCATTTGAGATTTTCATCAGTCAAAACAGAAGGAAAAAGTGAATGATGGATGATGAAAAGTAAAGGTTATGGACATTTTTGTGTAAAAGAATATCCATAGATAGTCTCCATCTTTAGATAGTTGGTTAAATCGAATAAGTTTAAGATCATTCATATGCAATAGAAAGTGTTAACAGTATATGTCGTTGTTGTATTTTGTATCACAAAAAAATAAATATAGAAGAGTTAGGTAATTCTCGCTTTTTTTTCCACCTCTGAGTTAGAAAATCTTTTAAGAGATACTACTGAGCATTTACCATCAGTCTAGCGACTTTTTTGCTAGGTGAGTTTTGATCTCTTTTCTATCAACTACTATTAATCAAGTTGTCAAAATCCCATTCGCGCAAGTTCGTAAGTATAATCAAAATTCTGTGAAAATCGCTTCTATTTCATCTGCTATATATTGTTTAGTTCATTTGAGGTGTTAGTAATCGTGTGTGTATGTTTTATTCATTAATTTTTTGTGTATTAAGAACAACTGGGTCCACTTAGTCAATTGATGTAAACAGTCATTAATCGAAAGTAGATTAAACCAAATAGAAAGTGATCATCTCTCCCTTGCTTTATGTAATTTATGGCTGTAAGGTAACAGAAAAAATAGCAAACTAATAGCATAAACAAAACAGCTGACTGATTATTACTATTTTTACGCAATATAATGGTATGCACATATCGTATGTGTTATTCGTCATTGATAGTTCATATTAGTCACTTAAGTATTTTTTTTTCTCTCTCTCTCTTGTTTCTACTTGTTCATTATTGATTCCAAACGAGTGGCTGTATCCAAGGACATTTTTCGAGAGAGTAAGAGCATCAATAAATATACAGATTATGTAAAATAATGTCTTTCAACAGAGAGAGAGAGAGAAACTCATATACTTTAAAACTATTCATAACTTCAGTCTCATTAACGCTGTTCACTTTATCGATTCTGGTAATCTTTATTCATTTGATTTGATGATGAACATACAGATAACTAAATTATATTTATTATAACTAGGAAAAAGAACTACTCCCATTATGGGTATGTGTTATTCACACTTTGTGTTCATTTTCTAATTTTCTACTTGTAAAAAACGATCGATCGAATAATAGTGAGCTCAGTAAATATTTCAGCTTGAATGACAAAGTAGCTCACTATAATGAAGGAAAAGAAGGATCTGCTTGAGTCGTTAAAATAGAGAGTATTTTACGTAGTTTCATTTGATGCAGATCGTAGTTTTGTTTATTTTAACTGTGATCTGTCATATTTGATAAATGATTATATCATTAGAGATAAAGAAAATATGTCGTTTCATTTGACCAAGAGCATTCGTTTTAAAGATCTTTTTTTCCTCTGTTACCAGTCCGGAAGAAAAGAAAAAGTGTTTCTGGTTAATTTAATCATTATATTCAACAGAATTTATCTGTGCACGACGAATCAGATGTATTTTTCTTTGTGAGAGAACTCTTGTCGTGTTTGTTTTAGGTAAGAGAAGAAATAGTACAATTGATAGATATGGAAAAAGTAAAGAATTATACGTAGAGATATATATCCTGTTTGGATGAAATTAATTTATAAAAGATTGTTTTCATATCTTGACCTTATCAACATATATATTTATATATACATATATATAACCAATCCGTTATATATTGTGAATAAAAGCAAGTGTTTTCGTTTTGTTAAACTCTACATGAATTTCGTGACAAAAAAAAGACAAAGACTAATTATTATTTTTACTAAATGTGATCCCAAAGTCTATAGGAACCCTACTGTTTGACATCCTGCTGAATCTTAGTCCAATTAGTTAAACATATACTGCATTGTTGACTAGTTCCGCTAAAAATAAGTTTACTAACGAAAAAGGTAAAAATTCTATGTTCATTTTGTCGTTTAGTACAATGAATAATAATCTTAAAAACTCTAATTTTTTTATATTAGAATGTAGAATAGAGTTGATAGTGTTTAGTGGTGAAATAGATCGTGAATGAATTGTATAGAGAAGAATAACATTCTCTATTTTCTCCTCTCTCGATATTTAATCACATATGTCTTTTGCGTTTTTTAGACACGTGGGACAATCACAAATTCTTAAATCATTACCTGATTTAACTCTAACACCTATACAAATATTAGTGCCATATATATTTGTTGAATTACACTTAGTCAATGTGCTAATGGCCACCATTTTGTTAATTAATGATACATTGTGCAATTCAACGAATCGACGTCGGTTATTGTTCAATTATTTTTATTGTTCTCATCATTCTACTTTAACTAAAGGTCATGAAATCGACCTTGACAATCATTCTATATTTTCTGATTCTTATTAATCTCAATATTAATTTGTTATCAATGTCCATCAATATGTTGGTATCAGCAGCAACATCGACTGAAAAAGTATCAGATAAAAATAAACAACCATATTATACGAATGAGTTTGTACTATTAGTCAATGGTGGAATGAAAGCAGCGAAACAAATAGCGGAAAAATATCAACTGAAATATGAAGGACAAGTAAACAATAAGATGTTCTTATTATGCTCATTCATCAGTCTAGGCCATTTATCTCTTTCTTAGGTATTACCACATGAAAATTATTTTGTATTTCGACAACTGAATAGTAGTTTTGACAACAGAAAAAAACGTTCATTAGAACCAGAAAATGTTTTAATTAAACAGTTGGAAAATGATCCAACAGTTTTGTGGGCACAACAGCAAGAAGTGAAAAAACGTGTAAAACGAAATGTGGTATTATTTCATCCATCTGTTAATTCGTATACAACTTCAGCAATGTTTAATGATCCAGATTGGAATAAGCAGTGGTATATGGTAAGTTTTATCTGAAACAGGATAGAAAAGAAAATACTAAATTGTTCTATTTATTATTACCGTATTTTTTTAGCATGATTCAAGTGAACATGGTCGAATGATGAATATATCAGGGGCATGGAGATTGGGTTATACCGGTAAAAATATTGTCGTTACAATCTTAGATGACGGAATTGAAAAAGATCATCCAGATTTAAGAGATAATTATGTAAGTAAGTAAAGTGCTGTAATGTACTCAGTCAACGAAGGACACATTATCTTTGCGTTCTACCACTGATAATTGTGTCCTTGAAATGAGAAATTTAGACAACGCTCACCTCATTCATAGCTAAAGAGCCTAAAGCAATTTACTATTTATGAAATATTTCGAACGATACATTATTCTGTTAAAAATAAGACATTGTACATAATTCGAATGACAAAAGCACTTAGTTTGAAACGATAATTTTCGTATTGTCTATCCAGGAGCCACGCGCTAGTTTGGATATCAATGATAATGATGAAGACCCTCAACCTCGATACGATTCGACGAATGAGAACAAGTAGGTTGTTGTTAAATTCCGTTGGAAACCAATCGAGTTATGCTATCGCCGACTTACTTTTAGTATTTGAAAACAAACTGATCTTTTTCTTGTTTTCACGCTAATAGTAATCGTGCGATTGTTTTTCTGTCTTTTAGGAACCTCGTGCTAGCATTGACATAAACGACTGGGATAACGATCCACAACCTCGATATCTTCCTACTAATGATAATAAGTAAAAATACATCTGTAAATGTGTTTATGCATGACTATTTTACTTGCATGTTTTTATTGAGCATGAGAAAAGATTGTTCTGTACGGATCTGACAGAAAAGAGTTAACTAAAAAGATTATTGTTTTTTTCTACCTTTTTTTGCATGTATGAAAAATGATGAAACAACATTGCTTGAAAAGATTTGATTGTATTTATGATTTACTCGCCTCTTTACATTGTATCATTTTGGTATGAATTTCATGAGGTTAGCATGAACTTCAAACATACTAATGCTAGCACGTTGTGTTCCTTGTATTAGCGACATTAGATCAAACATTGTTGATTTTTCTGTAGACACGGAACAAGATGTGCCGGCGAGGTTGCAGCTGCTGCAAACAATAACATCTGTAATGTTGGCGTGGCGTATAATGCAAGAATAGGAGGTATATGAATGAAACATGAGGATGATTTGTTTCTCATGTTTAACATCTCTTTCAGGTGTGAGAATGTTAGACGGTGAAGTGACTGACCTTGTTGAAGCAACTGCATTAAGTTTTCGTCATGATTTCATTCACATTTATAGCGCGGTAATTATATCTAATATCAAGAGGTTTATCCTCATTAAACTGATCTTATGTATATTGTGTATAGTCATGGGGACCCGATGATGATGGAAAAACAGTAGACGGACCAGCCACATTAGCCATGCAAGCATTCGAGAATGGAATCCGTTATGTAAGTTCAAATAACGTTTGTAAATTCGTTTTAAAGATCATTTTCTCATGTTATATAGGGCAGAAATGGTCTTGGTTCAATCTATGTATGGGCTTCGGGAAATGGTGGGAAAGATGACGATAATTGTAATTGTGACGGTTATACAAATAGTATTTATACAGTATCAATTTCGAGTGCTACAGAAAACGGCAATATACCGTGGTACAGCGAAGCTTGCTCTTCAACATTAGCTTCGACATATAGTAGTGGCGCATCAGATGAAAAGCAAGTTGTATCAACAGATTTACGAAATCAATGCACTGAAAATCATACGGGTATGTCACTGTTATAAACACAGATTGTTATTATTTCTGTCTTATATTCTTAGGAACATCAGCATCGGCTCCAATGGCTGCCGGTATCATTGCACTGGCATTAGAAGCAAATTCAAAGTTAACCTGGCGTGATGTGCAACATTTGATAGTTGAAACAGCTAAACCAAAACATTTAAATGCTATCGATTGGAAAGTGAATGGAGTGGGCAAAAGAGGTATTAATTAATAATAAAAAGAGAGGAAACATTTGATGTATATGTAATCTCTGCCTTATGTGAAATACCACGATATTTTATTTCTGTTTTGTAGTTAGTCATGCATTTGGTTTTGGAATGATTGACGCTGCAGAACTAGTAAAGATGGCCGAAAAATGGAAAACTGTTCCAACACAAAGAATATGTCATCAAACAAGTTCCAATCTGACTGCTCGGTATGTTTTGAAAATTTTACTAAATATATCAACTGTCTCTATTCTTGCAACATTTATGTTTAAGATCATTCTCAAAAGGAGAACGTGTGGCATTACAAATGCATACAGGTAATTTGTTTTTCTTTGTTTTATTATTAAATATGTATGCACTGTAAGAATTGTATATATTTGATGTTTAAAAGTTCGTTTCTATTTCAGATGCATGTTTAAATACTCAAAATGAAATAAATTATTTAGAACATGTTCAAGCTAAAGTATCTGTTAAAGTCAAATATCGAGGTATAGAAATTTGAAAACAATCTTTTTATTCTCATAAACTATGCAATAATTTTCTCTTAGGAAATTTACAAATTTTTCTAACATCACCAATCGGTACAAATTCAACATTGTTAGATTTAAGAATGATGGACGAATCATCAGATGGATTTTCAGAATGGCCATTTATGACCACTCATAATTGGGGTGAAAATCCAAGAGGCATATGGACTTTAGAAATTGTAAATATAGCTACCAGTGGTGAGTTCAATTGTGGATTTATTTGTTTCAGCTATTATGCTCTTACATATTTCACAAAATAAAATTATTTATAGAACACCGAATTGTTTAAAACATAGAAATTAATTCTGTATGGAATTGATACAATTTCTATCTAAGTTGAAAATCTAAATAAATATCTATTTGTTCATTTACATAAAAAAATATTAAATATAGTGCCCCAATGGTATTTCTTTTTACATATCTTTCATTACTCTTATTTCTAACTTTAATTAGTCACCTTTTTCTTTTTGAATCTTTGTTTCATGAACTTTGCTTTGTCCTTTGTAAAAAAGTTTTCAATGGTATATTTGTTAATTTCTATGTCCATTTCAGGTGTCTTTATTAATTGGACTCTGATATTGCACGGTACAACAATTCCACTTCATCGTGTTAGTAACACTTTTCATCCTGTTCATTCCCATGTGAATCGTAATCATCGACCAACAACTAACACGATGAACATGAAACATCGTACTCATTACCAACAACATCATGCGCATTCATTGTATAATTCAAATCGAAAAAATAAACAACAGTATCATCCTAAACAAAATAAGGATCAGAATAACATCTATTTGAATAGTAATGAACAGTATCGTCAATATGATCAATCCTCATTTGTGATCAAATCTGAACCTCATCGTACATCAACAGCCTCTCCATTGACGTTATCTTATTTTTCTCTCAAACATGACATGTTTTCTATATTATATACCTTTTTATTCCTCCATGTACTACTGATTAAGTCATATCAAACAAAGATAATATAAAGACAGTTTACTTTCGTTGTTCTTGTTTTTTTATAACATTTTTATTTTTGCTCGTTGTATTAATTGTCTATTTGAACGTGAATTATTCTATTACATCTGAACATCGTCTTACATGTTGTATATCATACATTTTTTTTTCGTCTTTTCAACTTACTATTTACTCTTAACAATTTGCAAATATCAAAAGAAGATCACCTAGAATAGAAATTTCATATATATGTCTGATTTTTGTATTGTATGTGTTTTTTTTACTTGTTTTTGTTTCTCTATTTTTAAAAATCTATTAAGATTTCGGTTTTTGCTTTTGTAGCTTTTGTATACTTTTGTACTACAATTGAATACTTAAAAAAAAGAAACAACTTTCCTTCCAAACAACAAATACTTCTTTCACTCATCCTGTTGATAATGGTACTTTTGATAGATGATTTTGAGATAGTTAAACATACAGAAGATAATGAAACGGTACTAATTATGTTTTGATTAAAATTCATGCATTTCATATGTGCTTAAGGAATAGTTGTGCTTTGCTTTTATCTTCAGGAGGATGAACTAAGTTAGCGATCTATGTTGCATTATTTACATTAAAGTTTTTTGAAAGTCTAGTTGACTGAAATTAGTTTTTGTTCAAAAACCATCATCAAGATGGAGAGAACATTTTTTTAAATATACATATTTCTCTCCTATCATGCGTATACTGTGATTACCGCTGGCAACCGCTTTCTACACCGGGTTCACTACAGTAAGAAAATCACGGGGGGAAAGCGGATTTTGGAGATTGTTGGGACTTTCACACATACTCAAATGTAGGAAAACTCTGAGATCCTCTGAGAAGCTAGAGAAACTGGTGAAGTCCACGGGAGTACAAGAAAATCCGAAAAAAATCCGTGGAAGCTCGATAGAATAAAAGAAACATCTGTAAAACCCTTGAACTTGGAGCTTATCGAAAAAAATTCAGAAAAACTCCAAAAACTGTCAAAAGTTTCGCGATATTGCATGGAACACCATGAAGTCCACAGAAATCCAACAAAATTTGGAAATTGTCGGTATCATATGTATTGAGCTCTTAAAATTAAACTAATGCAAAATTCCGCTTTTTCTCCTTTGAAGAAAATCCTATCTAATTGTGTTCTGTCTGTAAAAGTATGTGTGCTTGAGTGAAATATATTACAACTGTTTTAACCGCAGAAATAAATAAAATATACTGTTCAAAGAATAAAAATGATTGGATACTATATAATATAATATATGTTTCTGGGCGAGATTACCGAGTCTCTCCTTTTCTGGTACCTTCACAACAAAATCTAATCAGTGATATCACTACTACCCTGTGTGATAGTATAGGTGTGAAGCGAAATGTATGAGATAAATTATATGTTCTTGCATAATTTGATAGGCTATTTTATGCAAATAATTGTGTATTGTGTTAGTATCGAACGTACTTTCGTGTTCATAATGATTGTGATTAAATCTGTTTTCATAATTTTTGTCTTATAAAAGAAAGCTATTTCAACAGAATGAATGAGAAAATATAGTTTATAGATGATAAAGACGATTGAGATATGTGATATTGGTGCGGTCATCGTTTCAACACCAACAGCTACAAACAACAACAATGTCGTTGAAGTCAATGATATATTTTTAACGACATACAGATATCAGAATTAGTTTGTAATTTTTCTCCAATGATTTGAATCGAAAGGAACGATTTTAAAGCGTCATTATCCCGATTATAATTGAATAGTCGTCGTGACGTAAAAAGAAAGTATCTGTTATGTTATTCTTAGTCATTTAACGCGAAAAACGCATTCACATCTTCTACCAGAAACACGACAATCATCAGTATGTTTAGCTTTGATCTTATTGAATAAGGAGATAGAATTATGGAGAAGGGAGAAGAAGATGGTGAAAATAGTGACGATGAAAATTTAGATGAACAAGAATGAATAAATTATATAACTATAATATATAAATTTAGTTAAACAAGTAGAGCAAATTTTAGAATATGATGTAGATTCTATAGAAAATCGACAAAACAAGGAATGACAACAATAGAAGACCAAATAGATAGAATTTTTTTTTTTTTTAAGCAGTTGAATTTTTATTCAAAAAAAATACAGCAAATCAGGCTTTCTCCCATTACATGCTGTCAAGATAGAATTTTAATAGTCCAATTTTGAATTTGCTTTTTATATGTTTGAGCGCTGCACAGAAGCTGTAGGTATCATACACAAATCTTAATTATTTAGATATTTTTTCTCCAGAGGAAAATACTAAATATCCTATAGTTATACCTTGATGAGAATCAAAAATCAGTTAAATGGTATTTTTGCAACAATTTAAATTTTTTTCAGATGATGTTAATTTTATCATTTATAAAGAAGAGAAGAGGATTTCGAGGAATTTCGAGATGGTAATGATGATGGAATGAATCAAAATGAACAAACTGTATCATCCATTTCAAAAGATATGTTAGATGATTTCAATTCACGTTTAGTTAATTTTTGTCAACGACATAATAATGAATTGTGTCATTCATGAAAAAAGATGCGTATGCATCCAATGGTAGAGGTGGATATTTAAAAAAAAGAGAAACTGGAAGTCATCATTTTTAAAGAACCGTAGCCGAAAATGATCTTTTGTCCACAGCAACAAAAATGAACTAAAAAACTGTCATCATCGAATCAATGTTGACAACCAACAGCATCAGCAAACACCGAGTCAACAACATTCGTACTTTTTCCAATAACATTGAGTCAATTTGTCAAACAATTGCATTCACCAACGGAAACACGCAAGTATAATGATCTAAATTATTCATCGTTCGATTGCATTTATGAAAAAATAAGAAAATATTAAAACATAGAAAAATTGTTGATAGAAAGAGATGCCTATAATATAAAGTGTGAAGCATTAACAAAAATGAGTGAAACAGTGCGACAATTAGGTCATTTATGTCCACGAGTAATAACATCAATCAATGACGTGTCAATAATATTATTCGATGAAACAGTGTGTGTATGCAAATGAACAACATATCTTGGAAATGAAGTTGGTCAGTCTTCGACCAGGCCAAAAAAATAACAAGGAAATTAATGGCAAATGTTGGTGTTATATTACTTGGCTTAGATTGAGTTTCATCTCGTTTGACTTTTATTTGTACATTGTTTTCTGTGTTGTTATTGTAAATTTCTATTGTGGAACTTGTAAGTAAAGAAACAAAATGTTTTCTATGCTTAAAAGTTTGCACGTTGTGTAGAAGTTTTCAAGTTTAAAGGCGACGCACAAAGTGTTCCGCGCATACAATGGTTTTTATTTTATCAAAAAACAAACATCTCACAGTACATCAAATTCCTATTTCATTCATTTACTGTTTAAGGGGGGGGGGGGGGGGGGGGGGGGGGGGGGGGGGGGGGGGGGGGGGGGGGGGGGGGGGGGGGGGGGGGGGGGGGGGGGGGGGGGGGNAGATGGTAAGTTTACAAACTAATAAAATTTACTCTTCAAACACGTGATCGAGAGGAGCTTTTAATTTTTCTTAAGACTTTATATGTCGTTAACGACCCCCCCCTCAGAAATGATGATCCTCGGACTAAAAATCCTTTCTGAGATAAGCACATGGAAAGATAGCCTGAAGTGTCTACTTTCAGCATCTATGTCACTTCCGGTTACAGAAGTGATTTTTCGCGGCTTTCGAGCAAGTTTTCTAGGAGATCCGAAAAACCGGATCTCCAAATAATAGTTTTTTCCTGGATACTTATGCAGTTAAATTTCTTTCTCAACGCGTAGATTGTAGAGCAAACTTTTCTGATCAAAAGACGTCGCACAACTCTGTATAACCTTGCATTAAAAAGTTACAGGCATTTTATACAGCGTTTAATACAGCGTTTTCTCTACATGTGAGTTACACCTGAAGTATTTCCCGAAATTTTTTAATATACTCCAAGCTAGAGAGTTCGGGTGTGTTTTATTTTAAGCTAGACAGACCGGCGACGATTTTTCAATTAGGTCTTGGTGTTTTTGTTAAATTGAGGATTTCTAGAAAACCAGGAAACATTTTTTGGGTTGTTGATTGTCTACAAAACGAACAAAAAACTAATTGAAAAATCGGCGCTGGTCAACCCATGTAGCTAGGTGTCTAGTTTAAAATAAAACAAACCCAAACTCTCTAGCTTGAAGTATATTAAAAAATTCTGGGAAATACTTCGGAGTTCTTTTTGGACCTTGATCTCTGGAAAACTCCTAAACCGTAAGACTTGGAGACAAAAAAATGCTTTCATTCTCGTAACTTCATTGTGCCTAGCATTTATGGAAAGTTTCGTCAAGATCGGATGTACGGTGTCCGAGATAGTCTCTGAGGGGGGTCGTTAACGACATATAAAGTCTTAAGAAAAATTAAAAGCTCCTCTCGATCACGTGTTTGAAGAGTAAATTTTATTAGTTTGTAAACTTACCATCTTATCAAACAGGTTAAATTTGGTCATTATTTCTGAAAGCTACTCATTTTGCTGTGATCGTTTTTTAACAAACATATCGAACTAACTGTTTTTATAACTAATTTTCTTTGAATTCTTCTTCATACATTTTTCCATTCATTGTTTAATTTAGATGCAATCATCAACAGCAATCACGGATGCAGTTATTTTAAATAATCGCAATGATGAATCAATGATATGGACTGTATTTCGTAAAATGTTATTTTTTACAATATTAATGATGGTTGCACCATTAAGCTCATATTTTGCATCTAAAGAATATATATTCGAAGGTTTAATGAAGATGTCAAATCGCACTAGTTACATTTATTCAGTTATTGTTGCTGTTGTTGTCATACATATTATACTTGTTGCTTTTCTCATTGTGGCATTTCGTGAAGAGGAACCATCGAAGAAGAAACTGGAGAAAAAAGATTAATATTGACGATAAATATCTGCAGATTGAACTTCAATGTTGTATGTTTTATGTTATGCATTATGTTCAGTCAAATATGCATTTTATTCCAAGAAGAAATGTGTTTTCATGTAATGTTTATTATATTATTAAAGTAAAAGTGATAGAGTGTAATAACTTTTTTTATCGAATTATTAACACAGGGGTCTTTTCTTATGCCAATGAACATACATAGTCGTACGACTGTATTGATAAATTGAGAAGAAAAGCATTTACATTTTTTCTCCATGTTTATCTATCAGATTTTACACAGACGTAAAATCATGTACGTTTAACACAATTTTTCCTAAGTAAAACAGTTCAATTGACTACGGAGAAGTCCGAGTAACGTAGGAATGGTGTTTGCCTACAATTTGCTACTATCGACATTAATCCAACATAATTCTTCATATTGTAAAATGGAACTATGATTATTCTGATCACTCAAAGTTTGGACTATCAGACACTTTCTTTTTCTGCTCTGCTTGTTTGAAATATTACAGAATTTGGATCCATAATAAAAAATTAAGATGAAAACTAAGTTTTCCAATGTCGCAAGTGGGAACCAATGAAAAATTTAAAAAGTCATCAGTTTACAGTTAAGTGTCCCATTTCAATATGCCGATACAAGTATTCGACGTTTTTAGTTTGATTTCGATGACTATATATTGAATAAATTAGAATTTGATTTAATGCAAATTTATTTTGATCAGTTATCAAAGCAAATCATATCTTGTTCAAATCAAACGGTCCTTTGCCGTCCGTTATACTGAATTTGTCATGCTCTTTCCAATAGTGTCGTTGAAAATTATTTAAACCCAGGAATGAAAAATAATTAGATGATCTTGCGATTTTTACAGGCTTTTTTTTTGATCAAAAACTTTCTCAAAAACGAAATAAGCTGCTAAAATGTCGACTACGGATTCGGATAGAGCACAATTTTTCTACATATTTCATCTTGAACTAACACAGAAATTTAAGAATTTGTAATACTCTTTAAGTCTTTGAAATTTTATAGTGGATATGGTTTTATAATTTTAATTACTATTGTAATGCAGATGGATATCGATCGTGATGACAACCAGTTCTTAACATGATTCAGATGCATACGGGATATAACTAACCAGAAGAGATGTTAATTATCTACTCGCAAAACTACAGCAAAACCACTTAGATAGAGGCACAATCTTACGTAAGTATCACTATCGAAAAAATGTACAATAACAGTTAATTGTTTTCCAACTTTGAAAAATCACCATTTATTTGCTCAAGTATAACAATCAAAAAACAATGGACATGATGGAATAGTTAAGCGTTCGATCATCTTTTTTGCTGAATTAACTGGGAGAAAACCTTTCTTGAGCGTATTTAAAGTCTACATACGAGTTATTTTTGACAAAAATTATTACATTTGTTCACTTTTTGCATGATTTTTCTTCTGTACAGAATCTTTTTCGATACGATTATTGTACTATGGATTAACTTTTAGTTTTTGTAGTTTCTTAGTTTATTCATAAATTTATTCAAAAATTTCAAAAATTTCAAATTTCAAAATTTTATTTTCGCATAATAAAGAGATGAAGACTAATAGAGTAGGGACAGTGCTCCGACTATGCCATTTGGATCGGGCTCTCGAATTGACAGTATTTCAGTATTTCGTTGCATCATGTGACATCTGGCCCTCAGGCTAATTTTTGAAAAATATTTTTAATCGTAAATTTTTCTTATTCATATAGATCGGCAAAGCTGCATAACAATGAAAAGAATGGAATAAAATATTAACGAGTAGTTGTGGAGTCAAATTATTTTTTTTAGTTGAATGTAATAAGAAACCATTCGATAGTTAAGTCTGCATGATGTTAGATATTAGGTTTTATTTCGAAAACAAGGAGGATTGTTGATGTTAACTAAACGAAGAATACGCAGAATGTATGAATTCATTCATAAAAATTTCTTGTTTATATAAACTGTAATAGTGTGGAAAAAAGTTCTGATTGTGTCAAAGCTAGTGAGAGTAGAAGGACAGTGCTTTGTTTTCAGTCGAACAACAAGATGCGCATGATTTTTTCTCTCCAGGATTTTCTATTCTGTTGGTTTCTTGAGTTAATGACTTTGGAACACTACACGGTGACGGTTAGCAGTCAAACACCAATTGATGATAAAAAATGTTGAAATGAAAGAGAAAGGAAGTCTATTTTATTATCAAATAATGTAAGACGGTGCTGTATTGTTGTTTTATTTTTAGTTGTAACCATTGTTTTTGTAATACGAATAGAAACATTAATCTAACATTTGAAAGCTAGAAAAAAAATACTCATATATAAATTTGTTAACTATGATCGTAGTTCAGTTTTGTTCGACGAAAATAAACGCAACGGAAAAATCTCTTTAGTAAAAAAATAGAATTGATTACGACATATTTAATGTAGATATAACAATCAATCGGATGAGATTAGAATGACAGTCCTTGTTCTATAGAAGAATTGGAAAAATGTAAAAAAAAATAAGTGTCTTGCATGGTTTTATATTAAGTGAATAGAACAAGTATTAGATACACTGATCATCGTAAAAAAGAAAAACGATAGAATTTGAAGATGTTGTTGTTGTTTTTTCCGGATAAAATAATGAATGAAGAAGAAAAAAACTAAAGTGTAATCTGCCGTGAAAAATCAATCAACGTTAGAATCATTCTTTTTTTCTTAGAAAATACGTGTCATTCGTGTTAAAAATACTGAACAGATTTGCTCTCTAAAGCTCCAAAAATCATGAATTCGACTGCTGATTTACATGCACAGAAAGTCGTTTGGCCAACAGCGGGCACGCGAAAGATATACAATTTTCGATCAACTGTATGTATATGTTGTAGAAAAAATGACAAATTCATCTGATAGCTGCTAAACAGCTACTATTATAATTTCTGTATTTCATGCACGTGTTTGTTGAAAAAGAGGTGACGAGAGTCTGCCATACATCATCTATTCCGTGGGCTGTATCGTAAATATTATATACATCTACTGTTTCTTTGAGTATAGCAAATCTCTGCTTAGCTCTCACAAATGAGAGTTCCTAACTATTTAGCCCGCTTCCCCCATGAAAAATAGTTTTTATCTGAGCAGTTTTGGATGTTGATCACGAATCCGATATCAGTTTGCGCTCTTTGACCGTTTCAAGACTGGACCTCTAGAATCAGGGTTTCTGATGATCTGTCAAAAATATTTTAAATTTATATATTGTAAAAACTTGTTAGATTCAAGAACTATAGCGAAAATGAGACACAGAATTTATGTATCTTATCGAAACTTACGTGTTTATCCTAAAAACCTTTTTTGTATGCAATATTTTTGATAGACCTTCAGAGATCCTGATTTCAGAGGCCCAGTCTTGAAAAGGTCAAAGAACGCAAACGGATATTAGATTCGTGATTAACATCCAAAAATGCTCAGGCAAAAGCTGTTTTTCATGAGGAAAGCGGCTAAATATTTAGGAATCTCGTCAGTTTTTGTCTGAACTAGGCGTTCAAAAAGTATTATAACTCAACATTGAAATCTACTATCATCAATTATTCTATGCTTTCTAGTTTATAAGAAAAACATTCAAACTTTTTGTCTAGTATTCATTGATTGATAAACAAGATCAGAATGAGTTTTTGAAGCTTTGAATCCTTTGATATGTTACAAGTACAACGTTTATCTGCGTTCCAGGTCTAATAATCGAGTGAAAAGTTTATTATAGAGTGAAACATTCGATCTAAAATTAAAATTTTATAAACAAACTTTAGCATAAAACCTAGCTTACGAGAAAATCTCATTAAGTGATCCAACGATTTTTACGTTTAACACAGATAGTTTACCAATTCGCACGTTCTAATTTCAAATATGATATCTGTTGCAACTGATATAGCGATCTTGAACAGATTTCTGAAAATCGAACTCTAGAAAATTACAAATCTTTTTTTGAAAATGAAATCTCTTTGAGATGGACATTTTGCAGAGCGTAGCAAATTGCTTGTGTTTATGAATTCTTTGAGCATTGAAAGTATTTTGACAGGATGAAAATTTTACTAACCCAGACACGAATGTATACCCG